CGGACCTGTTACCCCCGTCAACCAACACCGCAGCGGAACCTACATTGGTGATAACCGTCAGCTATAGGCAGCGCGCTAATGGCATTTGTCTGGCAAACGTATCCTGCTTGTGCTCAGAAACCTCGTTTCCCAAACGCTTCTATATGTATGCAACTGATACAGACCACGAGGATCTACCTTCAGCTGGATCGCCTCCCATGGATTTGGAGAGGATATTACCAGTATGTGTCCTCTCTTTATTATCAAAATCCACTTCCCGTTAAATTTGCAGATGCCGATTAAATATGTGGTCCCACCTAGTCTTTACTTCCACAAAATAGGTAGGCGTGATAAGCCGAGTGTCCGCCACATTTCCTTAAAATGCGGGTCAAGGTTAGTGGATAAAGCTATGCTCCGGTTCAGGATTAGAAGTTGGGTTTAAAAGTTAAGGTCAATGTTACCTTAGGGGCTTAGGTCTAGGGTTAGTAGTTAGCGTTAGGCCCAGGGTTAGCGGGTTAGGGTTAGAGTCAAGGTTATGAGAGACGGCCAGGGGTTTGACGTTATGGTTGGAGGTTAGGCACTCAACCTTTCCAACGACAATTATATGCAATCACGGCCATCGAGAGGGTCGGATATAGCGATATATTTTAGGATTGATCATCACAGACAAGGTTCAGGTCGCCTGGTATATCTAACCATGGCCTCGGTTTTGACTTCTTTCGCGCATTTCCAGCTCCTATTTTCAGTACTTAACAGTATGCGTTCGTTTTTGGGCTTGAATTGTGTTTTCCTACGTGCTAATGGCGTTAATTTAATTTTTAAGTCATGCCTCACTAAGTCAGCTGTATTTTGCCACCAATAAGACCCCTTAGTTCAGGAGACCTTGCCTATTGTTTTCTGATTCACCTTTCAGAGTGACCGCATTTACGAAACTAACATTCTCAATCCTTCTTGATTTCTGTAGATGGCCGAATCTTGGGATTCCTCGAATGTATCTGCCCGCCTGGTACTGAGGGAAGAGCTTTGCGTACATTGTGTCTCGGATTGTGGGGTTACGTTCAAGCGTATAACCCCTGAGGGCTGCAACTCTACACGGCGGCCGGAAACGCTTTGTAAGTGATTAACTGTACGCTTTGCCATTAAAAGGCCCGTTTGCGGCACGCATTTGTGTCGTCTCTCCCATTTTGTGTCCGCGGGAACTTGACTTTTTCCCGGCTCACTTCTCTTGTGCCAGTATGTACTTTTACACATGCACCAAGATGTCGGAAGGACGCATGCACTCGGCTTTCGACCTTGGCGACTTAGTGACCATCGTCGTGGCCGTCGTCACTGTTGTACTTTTGCT